TTCATATATTAGAGTGGAAATGAAATCTGCACACAGATTAGTGTCTGAATATTACAACACACCAACCAAAACTGCAGCTACCACTACCAAGTACCAACCCTTTACCTAACAAGTCACAAGTCTCCTATTTTCCTTCTTGGTTTTCTCGGTTACAAAGTAGTTATTCTACATTTAATAAATCGGTGCTAATCACAATACCTACAAATGTACAATTGATGCCTATCTCATGATCCAGATGAAAAGCCGGTGAGCCATGCCTGAAAAGTGCTTTCCCCAGTGCAATTTATCCTCTGAGCCGCTAACTACGTGACAGATCAGGAAAACAACTAAAACATTTCATTTCAAGACCTCAAAGATTCACCAGATGATTGCGAGCTATCCAATCAGATGCTGTTAAGGAGAGAGATAAGACTGAATGAGGAATAGTGAGTCATATGATCAGAATGGAGCAATCATTGAAGAAAGGTCAAGAAATTTTACCTTCTCTAATGGTGCGCTGATTGCAGGCAAACAAGTCTTAAACATTGAGTGAGACATGAGCCGTCTGGATCCTTGAACAACACAAGCACTTGGAAAATTTTCATGGCATGCCGGTTGGTGAAAAAGGAGGAGACGGCCATCTGGCTATAAGGGAACTACAAAGCTTCAAGGACAACAGATGCTTTTGTGAAGACTGAAAGAACAAAAGGAGCTTCTTCCCCTGGGTGTATAGTAGTTGGGACGATAGTATAACCCTTGGGATCAGGATCAAGAACCATTTCGCATGATATCTCACGGGAATTCACATAGTCTGTTCCACCAACAGATTCATGAAGAAATATGTTGTAAGCAGCACGGCGTCCACGAGTTTTAAGAATCCTCATTCCGATATAGAACAACTGTGAATCATGACTCGACTGGTAGTTACGAAATCCAGGAGTTGTTCTTGAGAAACCTACGCCCTGTAAGTAAATATTGGAAGAGTGAGATTCACTTTATCAGAGGATAGGAAGTGCATAAGATAGAAAAGCACAAAAGTTTCCATCAAGAAAGAGTAAGTGCCTGAGTTAAGGTGATGAAAACATGAATTGGCAAAGATGCATCAGAACCAGTAGCCCTCAGTCGGAATTGTGGATTTTGATGCCATGAGCTATAATCTTGGCAGCCACCGGCACTACAACCTCGCCATTGTCCATGGACTGAATAACGCATCTCTCGAGGGTATACTCGACAAACATATATTGATCTGAAATGAATCTGGAAGTCTTGCCATGACATCCAGAATATACCTTCATTTGACTGTTGTACAGAATGCACATGATCAGTGCGTATCCAGAGCAAAATTACATATATTTATGTATATGTGAGCACAAAGAAGTGAAACACAATAGAAATTACCTGTGGAACATGCTTCAGCTTGTGCTTCATCCTATCACTCCACTCTGGGGATGAATCTGACCAGGGACCATTCCACTCAACTTCATTGGCCCATGGATTTCGGATCTGAACAAGTCTGTGTCCATCAACCTCTCTCACCTGGAGACAGAAAGTAAGTAATTTTCCTAAAACGCTTTCCCATACTCAGCATATGACAAATGGAACCAAAGTAACAGTGCCTACCTGTAAGACGGAGTAAGCATGCCCTTGCACGATGCCACTGGAAGATACATGGACATCAGATCCTGATGGACTTCCAGCACCAAGTAAAAAACCCTCTTGTTTAAAGCGTAGCAACTGAGACCATAATCTGCCACTTGCAAGATCAATCTGTGCTTGAGCACTCCTCAAGTCAATCTCCTCACCAGCACCTCCAGTTAGGTCGACAAGAGCATCCTGAACAAGTCCCCCCTCCAGTGCCTCATAAGAACCATGGAGCTTGGCGTATGCTTTCTCCACTATGGAGACCCAGAGTTCATTGAGCTTTTTGCTAGTAGCAAAGGCTGGTTTACCAGGTGATTCACATGGAATCCAGTCATCGATAACAACAGGAACCCACTCGCCCTGAAAGAGGAAAGCAAAACTTAAACTTGAAGTCTCTGACTGTAAAGAAACCATAAAGGAAACTGCAAGAATCTATCATCAAGAGAGCAAACCAAACCTGAATACAAAAACGAACAGTGTAGATTCCTTCCTCGTTGTATTCAGGAGTTATGATCACTTCAGATATTCGTGAAACCTCCGTCAAAACAGCAACAGCACTTAAAAACCAACAATCTCCCAAACGCCCCTATAAAACAAGTTAAATCAATCATAAGAATAGTTTCCTAAGACCATCTGCAGCATCAATTGCGTATAAGAAGAAAAGCTAGGTTAAGAATAATAGTTTGTGCATCACGAGGAGCTATCAAATATAAAACAAGTAAATGACCATACCTGGCAAACATCTGAAGGATTCGCATCCCCAGAGAATAGGCAGGGACGGGAATCACTACCGTTCTCTTTCACAATGGAATCAGGCCTCATCCATTCAGAAACAACCTAAATTATGACAAGCTCAGAAGGTTAAAGCGCATATCAAGTTGTTAATTATCAATTGGAGTGAAATGTTCAAACAGAAAGAAAAAGGAGGTAGTCCCTACCTGCAATTTTGAAGGGGGGTTTTGTGTATCCACAAATAAAGAGCGGTCATTTGGAGGAAATTCCTGGTCAGTGAATTGCTTATCGCCTCGTGCAGAGAGAGCTTCTTTGACAGCCAACTCAACTGAACGCATTCTTTGATTTATTTCTTCTTGTGTCTCCATCCTGGGTTTCCTGTATCTCCTAGCAAAGGAATCAACACTAAATAGGAAATCCCGACCTGATCTTCTTTTCCTCCCACTGGAATATTGACCATCCCAATCTACGTCATCCCTATCATAGAGATCAACATCGGCAGGATCACTATCCCATCCATCAACCTGGTAAAAGGGATAAAGGAACCAACAAGAATCAGTATGAGATTAGACATTAGCCCCTACGAACATGCGAAAAATATGCCAACATTCAACAGAAAGGAATATACTCTTGGGGGTGAATCTGTCCATTGCCAATTGTCATCAGACAAATCAATCATGTCTAAATCAGCCATGCCAATGGCTGCATGCAAAGAAGCAGCCTCGTCTTCAGTTAAGCATTTCCCCCAAAGGAAAACATCCATTATATGCATCTTTGATTCGGCTCCATCACTATCTGATCTCCCGAAAGCATCGACATCTATAGGTGGCCTAACACCCAACCAAAGTTCAGCGCCTTGTTCCCAAATGGCACTACCAACACTGAGAGGTAACCCAGTCTGGTAGCCATCAAACCCACCATCTAAGTAACAAGTAGCTTCCCCCGCATCAGCATCAATTGTTATCGTCACTGTATGCCACCTGTGATGGAAACCAGATAATGAGAAATATGTATCACGAAAGTCCTGGAAAGTATTCTGACAATATAGAAACTGTGGGGAATCATGGGCATACCTTCCATCAGTTATGCTGGTCGCACCAATATACCACTCTCTAGCAACGGTTGTCTGCCTCTCACCTTTAGTTATCAACCTAAGCCCAACTTGGCCAGCCTCAATACCTTGCTCAGAACCAGCAACTAGAATCTCCCAACACACTTTCTTTTCAAATTCAGTGCCAAAAAGACATACAGGTCCAGAATCGGGTTGGATCATTGCTGTCATGGAAAAGCTAATCTTCTGACTTTGACAGACACTCGAGTCCATTTGGCCGCAATGTTTACCACTTATCATTGGTTCATCATCAAGAACACAAATTGCCCCAGCAATTCCAGTCTGGTAAAAGCTTTTATTAGTTAATTCTCCAGTAACCAAAATCGTAAGAAAGTACACTTACAGAATATAAAGAAATTTTAACCTGTTGTGCACGTCGGTCTAGTTGAGCACTGCGTATCCTACGTGCAATACCCGAGACTCTCTCTCTTGCAAAGGAATCCTCAAGGACAGAATCACCCCCAACAGCACGTATTGCAGCTGCCATGGCTGCTGCCTCTCTGCTACCAGCATTAGGAATAGATGGAATAAGGGAAGCTTCAATCTCCTTCCATTTCCGCTCTTCCTTTTCCAAAAGAGCTTTCCTTCTTTCTTTACCTTTCCCTTCTTCTTCACGTCTTTGCATAAGGATTTCCTCTTCCATCTCTTTCTCTCTCAGATAACTGAAGTTTACAACACAGAAAAAAGATAGGCAACAAGTCTGAGTGTTCTGTTTCACCAAACCCCACATTGGTTAATTAAAAGAAACATGTACCTGTCTTGGATAATTTCAAATTGTCTTCTATCCTCTGGCTTCCATTTACTGATTTTTCTGGCACTTAAGTCAGAGAACCCAATMCTATCTAAAAAGAGCCGCAAGCGTACCTCATCCTACAACATCGTGATAATCCTGTCTTAGACAAACATAGATAAAAATATATGAAAATTAAGAATCAGGACTCACCTGAACTCTCTCCGCCTTAGCTGTCAAACCTAACAATAGCAGTAAATAACCACCAAACTTGTCCCACATATACACCCATTCTGTATCAATTGCCTCTTCCAGTGCCAAAACCCTCGCATGGGCACACATGTCTCTTCTGTAATCAACATTTGTAGTTGGTTCATGGCGGAATCTTTTCCTGCATTGCATTTTGTAGAAGAACGATCCAGCAATTCTTTCTTCATTCCTCAGACGATCCCTTAATTTCATGACA